CCATAATGCATTCATTCATGACATGTGATCGCATTAGCCAATCAGCAGCCAGCCAGCCAGCACTGTGTAATGGTGGAGCTATAAATCGCGGCCATCTTAGAATTCTCCATTAGCCTCCGGTCATTCAAGAGAGACAGACCTCTCTGTATTAGGGACAGAGTTAGGGCCAAAGAGACTTTAGGGCCACAGAATCGTTACTTAGGGACACAGAATTGTTACTCAGGGACACAGAATTGTTACTCAGGGACAGACACAGAATTGTTACTCAGGGACACAGAATTGTTACTCAGGGAAAGACACAGAATTGTTACTCAGGGACAGACACAGAATTGTTACTCAGGGACACAGAATTGTTACTGAGGGACACAGAATTGTTAATCAGGGACAGACACAGAATTGTTACTCAGGGACACAGAATTGTTACTCAGGGACACAGAATTGTTACTGAGGGACACAGAATTGTTACTCAGGGACAGACACAGAATTGTTACTCAGGGACACAGAATTGTTACTCAGGGACACAGAATTGTTACTCAAGGACACAGAATTGTTACTCAGGGAAAGACACAGAATTGTTACTCAGGGACACAGAATTGTTACTCAGGGACACAGAATTGTTACTCAGGGACACAGAATTGTTACTCAGGGACAGACACAGAATTGTTACTCAGGACACAGAATTGTTACTCAGGGACACAGAATTGTTACTCAAGGAAAGACACAGAATTGTTACTCAGGGACACAGAATTGTTACTCAGGGACAGACACAGAATTGTTACTCAGGGACACCGAATTGTTACTCAGGGACACAGAATTGTTACTCAGGGACAGACACAGAATTGTTACTCAGGGACACAAAATTGTTACTCAGGGACACAGAATTGTTACTGAGGGACACAGAATCGTTACTGAGGGACACAGAATTGTTACTCAGGGACAGACACAGAATTGTTACTCAGGGACACAGAATTGTTACTCAGGGACAGACACAGAATTGTTACTCAGGGACACAGAATTGTTACTCAGGGACACAGAATTGTTACTCAGGGACAGACACAGAATTGTTACTCAGGGACACAGAATTGTTACTCAGGGACACAGAATTGTTACTGAGGGACACAGAATCGTTACTCAGGGACACAGAATTGTTACTGAGGGACAGACACAGAATTGTTACTCAGGGACACAGAATTGTTACTGAGGGACACAGAATTGTTACTCAGGGACACAGAATTGTTACTCAGGGACACAGAATTGTTACTCAGGGACACAGAATCGTTACTGAGGGACACAGAATTGTTACTCAGGGACACAGAATCGTTACTCAGGGACACATAATTGTTACTCAGGGACACAGAATTGTTACTGAGGGACACAGAATTGTTACTGAGGGACACAGAATCGTTACTGAGGGACACAGAATTGTTACTCAGGGACACAGAATTGTTACTCAGGGACACAGAATCGTTACTCAGGGACACAGAATTGTTACTCAGGGACACAGAATCGTTACTCAGGGACACAGAATCGTTGAATTAAAGAGTATGTCAGACAACACGCAGAGGAGTGGCAGAGGAGGCAATGTTTCAGGAGCGAGCAGACGTGGCAGCAGAGGAAGGGGTCGAGGCAGCACTAGTCGCAGCCAGAGGTCAGTGCTCCCGGTGTCATCCAGCGGTCGTGTCTCCACCGACAACCCTTCCGTCATCGATTGGTTGGCTCGGTCGTCTTCCTTTTCCCAGGTCACCTCTGACACCTACAGCCAACGGTCGGTGGGTACGTCAGACACAACCGTTAGTTGGCATGGCCCGGGAGCAAGCCCACTGAAATCACGTGTCCTCTACCTGCCCCTGTCCTTTGGTGTTCCCTCACCAAGCGAAGTATCGCATGCTGTGGGCTCAGCCACACTGTACAGTGAGGAAGAGCTAACAGAGGGCGGTCAGGAACGGGGGGAGACATCCGCCTCTTCAGCAGCCAGGCGAAGAAGTACTGGCGAGGAGAGTGGCTCGGTAGCCGGTCTAGAGACAGGTCTGTCTCCTGACCCACACGCAGCCGAGGGGGCTAGTAGTGACGCGGAGACCCTAATTGATGATGATGAGGCTGATCGCACTTGGCAGCCTCGTCGTCATCAGGCTATTGCTTCTGCATCATCAGGAGAAGAGGGTGCCAGCTTGGCAGCGAGCAAAACAGTCGATGGGTTGCCCAGGAGGCAGCAGGGTCGCAGCAGTGTCAGTGGAGGCAAACGGCCACGGAGTAGAGCACCAGCTCCACTGCAGCCTACCACCACGGCCAGTAGTGGTGCCGGTGTGCACGGAGGAAGTAGCATTCAGCCAGTGAGGAGTAGCGGGGGCAAAGTTTCCTACTCGGCGGTGTGGCAATTTTTCGTCAAGCCGCCCGAGGAAGTAAACGTAGCCGTATGTCGACTATGTGGCCAGAAAGTCAAGCGTGGCCAGGGGGCCCATGTTGGGACTACAGCGTTGCGTCAGCATATGCAGCGTCGCCATTCGGTGGCCTGGGAAAACCGTGATAAAGATACGGCGGTTCTGCCTGCCCCAGCCCCCGCTCCATCACCCGCTCCGTTACTTGCTCCGTCACCCGACGTCAATCGCCCTCTATCAGCCAGTCAAGGCTCCAACACCTCTGCTGAGGGGAGTTGTCGCTCGTTGGCATCTTCCGCTCGTTCAGATGCTCCTTCTCCTGCTACTCCTCTTCACGGATTCCGTCAGCAGTCTTTCTTGGAATCCGTTTCCAAGAGACAACAGTTTGCGAGCACGCACCCGACGGTGCAGAAGCTGAACGTCCTCCTGTCCAAGTTGCTGGTGCTGCAGTCCCTCCCTTTCCAAGTGGTGGACTCAGCACCTTTCCGAGAAATGATGGCTTGTGCCGCGCCGCGGTGGAGAGTGCCAAGCCGGCATTTCTTCGCCAAAAAGGCAGTGCCAGCCCTGCATTCACATGTAGAAGAATGGTGGGCCAGTCTTTGAGCATGTGGGTCTCTGCCAAAGTGCACGGCAGCGCCGACGTGTGGAGCTGTAACTACGGTCAGGGACAGTACATGTCATTTACGGCCCACTGGGTGAACGTGGTGCCGGCACAGCCGCACCAGCAACTTGGACAGGTCACGCCGCTTTTGCCTCCACGTTTGCACGTCCTTGGTCCAGCAAAGATGTCCGCCTCTACCACCTCTTCTTCCGTCGTGTCCTCAGCCGCCACCCCCGTGCCAAGTCCATTACCCGACGGCATATCACATGTGCAGGGCACAACGGTGTCACGCTGTGCTGCACCTGGTATGCCTTGGCGAACGTAGTCACACAGGGGAGGAACTTCTGAGTGTAATGAACAGAGAAATCGACAGATGGCTGTCTCCGCGCAAACTGAAAATCGGAACCATGTTGACCGACAATGGAAAGAACATGGTGTCTGCTCTGCGTCAAGGAAGGTTGTGCATGCGCCATGCATGGCTCACGTGTTCAATCTGGTTGTCAAGCGGTTCCTAAAAATCCACCATCTCACTGCAAGACATCCTTAAAATGTCACGTAAACTTTGCATGCATTTCAGCCATTCCTACACCGCAAAGCACACCCTCCTTGAGCTGCAGCGGCAGAACGGAATTCCACAGCATCGCCTGATCTGCGACGTTGCAACAAGGTGGAATTCAACCCTACATATGTTAGACTGCCTTTACGAACAGCGAAAGGCCATCACCGATTTCCTGATGTTACAAGCGGATAAAGGTACTCCCCTGTGTAACTTAGATGTCAGCCATTGGCAGCTCATGCGTGACACCTGCCGCTTGCTCAGGCCCTTTGAGGAGGCCACGCTATTCGTGAGTCGGCAGGACTATGGGATGAACGACGTCATTCCTCTGTTGCACGTCCTGGAACAAATGCTGTTAACAATGGCTGGTCAGGGTGCGGTAGACGTGGCGCACAGATCTCAACGCCACATGACCCCTGTGGGGGCAGGACAGGAAGAAGAGGAGGAGGTAGAGGAGGACATTGGTGCTCAGGAATTATTGAGTGAAATGGGTGGTTTTTCCACTCAACGGACAGGAGTGGAGGAGCAGGAGCATCTGGTAGAGGAGGAGGAGGAGGAGACAGAGGACCCAGACGCACCGTGGCAGTATGCTGTGGAGATGGAGGCAGGGAGTCCCTCGCATTCCTTGGCACAAATGGCCCATAGCATGCTCGGTTGCTTGCGTAGCGACAGCCGAATAATAACCATCAGACAGAGGGATGACTTTTGGCTGTCCACCTTGTTGGACCCTCGCTACCGTTCAAAATGGTGGCCTTTTTCACACCTGCTGAGAGGGAGGCCAAAATAAATTACTATAAAAACCACCTATGTAGTCAGTTGGTCTCTGCCTTTTGCCCAACGTCCATCCTCAGACACTGTGGGCCCTGTGCGCTCGCGTTCTGCTGCCATGGCAGCAGGGGAGGGGTGGGGTGGTAGGAGCAGTGGCAGCTCCACCAGCAGCGGCTGCCTCAGTCTGCAGTCGATGATGAGTAGCTTTCTTCACCAGCGCAGTGAGGAAACTACTAACCAGCCGCAGCAGCAGCAGCATCAGGTGGACCTGGAGCAGGGACCTCAAACAACAGGCTTGGGCCTACTTGGACAGCACCCTGCCAACCGAGGTAGACAATCCCTTGACTACTGGGCAACGAAACTTGACCTTTGGCCCCAACTAGCTGAATTTGCCCTTGAAAGGCTGTCATGCCCGGCCAGTAGCGTGGCATCGGAGCGCGTGTTTAGTGCGGCAGGAGGTATTGTAACTCCGCGGAGGACACGACTGTCCACCCAAGTGTGGAGAGACTCACGTTTGTGAAAATGAATCAGGCGTGGATTAGTCTGGATTTCAAACCACCAGTTCCTGACACAACTGACTAAATCCGCCATGAATCATGCCCAAACATGTTATTATTTTTTAACATAGGGCCTCTGTTATGGCCTTCAATTTAAGCTGCTTACGCTTCGCCACTCTGCCATGGGCCCCTGTACCTCCTCCTCATGCTGCTGCCAGGTCCAGAGTGTGTCATGGGTCCCTGTACGGCCTCCCATTGCTGCTGTCTCCATCGCCACACTCTGCCAGTGCCACTTTCAGGTCTCCTCACAATGCTGGTGGGTTCTATTTTGTCATAGGGTGCTGGCAGATTACGGGCCTCCCATTTGCTGCTGCCAGGCCCGTAATCTGCCATGGGCCCCCGTACCGACTCCCTCATGCTGTGCTGCCAGGCCCGTAATCTGTCATGGGCCCCTGTACCGCCTCCTCATGCTGCTGCCAGGTCCAGAGTGTGTCATGGGTCCCCTGTACGGCCTCCATTGCTGCTGTCTCCATCGCCACACTCTGCCATGTGCCACTTTTCAGGTCTCCTCACACTGCTGGTGGGTTCCATTTTGTCATAGGGTGCTGGCAGATTACGGGCCTCCCATTGCTGCTGCCAGGCCCGTAATCTGCCATGGGCCCCGTACCGACTCCTCATGCTGCTGCCAGGTCCAGAGTGTGTCATGGGTCCCTGTACGGCCTCCCATTGCTGCTGTCTCCATCGCCACACTCTGCCATGTGCCACTTTCAGGTCTCCTCACACTGCTGGTGGGTTCCATTTTGTCATAGGGTGCTGGCAGATTACGGGCCTCCATTGCTGCTGCCAGGCCCGTATCTGCCATGGGCCCCGTACCGACTCTCATGCTGCTGCCAGGCCCGTAATCTGTCATGGGCCCCTGTACCGCCTCTCATGCTGCTGCCAGGTCCAGAGTGTGTCATGGGTCCCTGTACGGCCTCCCATTGCTGCTGTCTCCATCGCCACACTCTGCCATGTGCCCACTTTCAGGTCTCCTCACACTGCTGGTGGGTTCCATTTTGTCATAGGGTGCTGTATGGCCTCCCATTGCTGCTGCCAGGCCCGTAATCTGCCATGGGCCCCCGTACCGACTCCTCATGCTGCTGCCAGGCCCGTAATCTGTCATGGGCCCCCTGTACCGCCTTCCTCATGCTGCTGCCAGGTCCAGAGTGTGTCATGGGTCCCTGTACGGCCTCCCATTGCTGCTGTCTCCATCGCCACACTCTGCCATGTGCCACTTTCAGGTCTCCTCACACTGCTGGTGGGTTCCATTTTGTCATAGGGTGCTGTATGGCCTCCATTGCTGCTGCCAGGCCCGTAATCTGCCATGGGCCCCTGTACCGACTCCTCATGCTGCTGCCAGGCCCGTAATCTGTCATGGGCCCCTGTACCGCCTCCTCATGCTGCTGCCAGGTCCAGAGTGTGTCATGGGTCCCTGTACGGCCTCCCATTGCTGCTGTCTCCATCGCCACACTCTGCCATGTGCCACTTTCAGGTCTCCTCACACTGCTGGTGGGTTCCATTTTGTCATAGGGTGCTGTATGGCCTCCCATTGCTGCTGCCAGGCCCGTAATCTGCCATGGGCCCCCGTACCGACTCCTCATGCTGCTGCCAGGCCCGTAATCTGTCATGGGCCCCTGTACCGCCTCCTCATGCTGCTGCCAGGTCCAGAGTGTGTCATGGGTCCTGTAACGGCCTCCCATTGCTGCTGTCTCCATCGCCACACTCTGCCATGTGCCACTTTCAGGTCTCCTCACACTGCTGGTGGGTTCCATTTTGTCCTAGGGTGCTGTATGGCCTCCCATTGCTGCTGCCTCCACCGCCACACTGTGGCTCCACACTCTGGTTTTGGCCCCCGTTGACTGCCCAAATGAGTGAAGTGTGCAGTGATTCTAAAGATCGACGGCATCATCTGCATGTCATACTGACTGACAGTATTATTTCTCTTCCCCAGCAGACTCCAAGGGCATTTAAATTAAAGGTACAGTGTTCTGCACTATTATAAAGGCTCTCTGAAGCCTAGAAACACCCTTTTTATACGTTAAATTCGCAGCGAATATATTCGCCTCGAATCGAATTTATTCCGCGAATTCGCCGAATCAGCCGAATCGAATTTTTTGAATACTTCGCTCATCTCTAATTATTATTATACAGGATTTATATAGCACCAACAGTTTGCTCAGCGCTTTACAATATAAATGGAGACAATAAAGCAACAATACAGTTCAATACAATAGGGTTAGGAGGGCCCTGTTCCTTGGAGCTTACAATCTAAAAGGGAGGGCCTTGGTGGTACAAAAGGTAATAAACTGTGGGGAATTAACTGATAGGAGGAATAGAAGATTCTGTCATTAGCTGCAGGTGGGATAGGCTTCCCTAAAGAGATTTTTCAGAGATCATCTAAAAGTGGGCAGAGTAGACGATAGTCGGATTGGGGTAGAGAGTTCCAGAGGATGGGGGAGGCTCTGGGGAAGTCCTGTAGATGAGCATGCTAGGAGGAGACAAGGGAGCTAGAGTTATAAATGGCTTTATAAGTTATTGTTAATGTTTTGAATTTTTATTCGTTGAGCAATGGGAAGCCAGTGGAGGGATTGACAGAAAGGGATGGTGGATATGGAAAGGTTAGTATGGTGGATGAGTCTGGCAGCAGCATTCATGATAGACTGAAGAGGGGATAGCATGCGATTAGGTAGGCCAATGAGGAGGGAGTTACAATAGTCAAGGCGAGATATATCAAGGGAGTGAATTAGTTGCTTAGTGTTTTTCAGAGGTTAAGAACGGGCGTATCTTGGAGATGTTGTGGAGGTGAAGTCTACAAGATTTGGACAGTGATTGGATTTGGGGCTGAAAGGACAGATGGAAGTCTAGGATTACACCTAGTACCCTGGCATGAGGGGAGGGACTCATGGTTGTATTATTAATCTTGATGGGGAAGTCAGGGGAGGGGGCACGGGCTGGAGGGAATAGTATGAGCTCCATTTTGGAAACATTTATTTTGAGGAAGTGGAGTGACATCCATGCTGATATGTCACTTAGTAGGTTAGTAATACGCGAGGAGACTGAAGGGGTGAGGTGAGGAGTAGAAAGATAGATTTGTGTGTCATCAGCATAGAGATGGTACTTAAAGCCATGGGAGTTTCTCAAGTAACCAAGGGAGGAGGTGTAGATGGAGAAGAGAAGGGGTCCAAGGACAGAACTTTGAGGGACCCCTACAGAAAGAGGAAGTGGAGAGGAGGAGACAGAGTTATAGGTAATGCTGAAGGAGCGCTGCGATAGGTAGGAGGAGAACCAGGAGAGAGCAGAATCTCGGAGGCCAAGAGAGTGGAGTTTTTTGAGGAGGAGGGGATGGTCAACAGTATCAAAATCCGCAGAGAGGTCAAGTAGTAAGAGTATAGAGTAGTGGATATTGGTTTTAGCAGTTAGTAAATCATTAGTGAGTTTTAGTAGGGCAGTTTCAGTGGAGTGGAGTGAACGAAAGCCAGACTGTAAAGGGTCAAGAAGATTGAGGTAGAAGCTCAGGCGATTGTAGACTAGGGATTCTAAGAGTTTAGAGGTAAATGGGAGCAGGGCGATGGGTCTTAGATTGTTCAGGTTGGCATAGTCCAGCGAGGGCTTTTTAATTATGGGAGTGATCTGTGCATGCTTTTGAGGGGTGGAGAAGGCAACATTAGAAAGGGAGAGATTGAAGATGTGAGTGAGGGAGCATAGGACAGAAGAAGAGGGTGACCATAGTAGTTGAGAGGGGATAGGATCCAGGGGGCACGTGGTGAGATGGGATTCTGAGAAAACATTAGTGATCTCTTCAGTAGTAGCAAGGTCAAAACAAGAAAGTGTTGAGGGAGGTTTAATATAAGGTGTGCTAAGTGGGATAGATGTCTGTGTAGCAGAGATGCCCCCACGAATTGCATCAATCTTGTTTTTGAAATGATTTGCAATCTTGTAAGCAGTGAGTGAGGTGCTGGGTGGAGGTGAAGGTGGAGAAAGCAGAGAGCTAAAAGTAGAGAAGAGACGACGAGGGCTAGATGACAAGGTATTAATAAGAGTGACAAAGTAGGCTTGTTTGGCAGCATTGAGGGAGGAATTGTATGTTAAAAAAGCAGATTTATACAGGGTGAATGCTTGCTGAGATTTGGTTTTACGCCACAATTGCTCCAGTGCACAACTATATCGCTTAAGATTTCTGGTGTCATCAGTCGGCCACAGTTGTAATGGTAAGGGCCTGATACTTCATGTAGTTAGAGGAGCAAGTGAGTCTAGTGTGGATGACAGTGAACTGTTGTAGACAGCAGTGGCCAGGTCAGGGCAGGACAGGGGAGATATTTTGTCATAGAGGCAGTCAGTTGCAGAGTGGAAAAGAGACGTGTTTAAGTTGTGAAGGTTTCTGCAGGTAATTGTTTGCTGCTTGGAGCGTTAAGTGTTTGAAGAAGAGGACACTGTGAAGGTGATGAGATTGTGATCAGAGAGAGAAAAGGGGTGTTTGTGAGATTGTAGGGAGTGCAGAGATGGGAGAAAACAAGGACTAATGTATTCCCATCAGTGTGAGTGGAGGACTGTGTCCATTGTGTTAAGGAAAAAGATGAGGTTAGGTTGGAGAGTTGGGATGTAGCCGGGTTGTTCACATTAATGGGGATGTTAAAATCTCCAAGAATGATAGTGGGTATTTCAGAGTAGAGAAAGCAGGGTAGCCAAGCAGAGAAATCATCAAGAAAGCGCGACACCGGTCCAGGAGACCAGTAAATCACTGCAATCCTCAGAGAAATGAGAGAAAACAGCCGAATACAGTGCCAGTGCCAGTTCCATGTTTACCAATGCCCGCACTGTCCATCCTGACACCGATTTCTCATGAAGCAGCTGTAGCCACTGGGAGGGGGGGTGGAGGGAAAGCCGGCCAACAGCACTGCATGGAGGTGCCGCTGGGGATCGGTAAGGGGGGCACTAAAGAGAGGTTCCAGCTGCAGGGGGGTGAAATTAGTTATTTATTTATTTTTAGGCTGTGGCTGTCATGCAATTGCTGGTGGGAGAGGCAGAGGAGGGAAGCGGAGCCTCAGGGGATCATGTTGGTGAGGGGGAGATGATGCTGGGGAGGAGACTCAGTGCTGGGGTAAGAAGAGCAGCATAGGAAGGGGACAGTAAGGAGGGGGGTATTTTAGCTAGTGGTTGGGGATGTGGAGGAACAGTAGGAAGCAGGGAATGAGAGAAAGAGAAGCAGCAGTGGGTTGGGAGGGGGTCACATTTTAGGCGAAAGGCTCTGATCAACGGCTTGTTAATCAGAGCTATTGGTTTGTTTAGTAGGGTCTGCTTAACAGTTTTGCTATAAGCCCAATGTCACTGAAGTCACCATGAACTTATAACAAAAGGAAAAATGCCAAGTCCGTACTGCATATGGACCTGGACAGCTGGAAGTGGTGCTGTAGGTCCGTTAAAGTCCAACTCTAGCCTGCTGTTGAAATTACCTGTGTAATAAGGGGTTCCTCCCACACTGCATGGGTTAAATGCTTATGTGGCTAGGGGAAAGAAATAAGTACAAATACTTACCTTATTCTTTGCTCTGCAATTAGAAGGAGCTCACCGTTGCTGTGTGACATGGAATTTGGTCAGGCCCTAGTCTTCCTCCCATACAATGATGTACACATTGCTTTAGGTCAAAGTTTTATATGACCAGATGGTTGTGTAGCAATCCAATGAGGTGACCTAGGTGGTATCAATGTCTTCTTTCATTTTCATTTTGTACCATTTGTAGGTAGCATGTTGACATGCTAAACAAATGGTG